CGCTCGCTTTTAACGATGCGTGTCTGCAGTGTGCATGTCCACTCAGGAGACACCCCAGGAAGCTGCTGGACCGCTTTTAGTTGATGTAGATTCAAAAATACTATCACTGGCGAAGTCTGGTATTTGCGAGATATTCTGGCAGCGGGTCACAGTGAGAATCATGAAACAAAGTGAGTTCTTTCATCAGTCACAGTCACAAATTTATTAACAACCCGTACCAACCAAACTCTCGGCCTCCCCTCCCACACTCGATCCTTTTCCAGGCTCCTTATCTCGGAGGATGGCGTGAATGGCACCGCCATCCACCCAGCTGCGCGAGCCAGCCGCCCTCTGGCCCAGCACAACCAGCCCATCACCGAGCCCGTCAAGGTCACCTCCCAAAGAGCTCCAAACTCATCCTGTGCTCCCCACCTGCACCCAGTCACGTCCAGGCGGCCATCGCCTCTCAGCACAGCGCCTCCCGCCTCCAACCTCTAAGTGTGACCCTAAACCTAACGCTAACACTAACCTGAAAGAAAGTGCTCAGTCGTGTCCGACTCTTTGCAACTCCATGGGCTGTAGCCCACCAGGCTCCTCGGTTCATGGAATTTTCCAGGCAAGAAAGAGTGCTGGAGTGGGTTGCCATTTCCTTCTCCAGGGGATCTTCCCGGATCCAAGGATCAAACCCGGATCTCCCGCATTGCAGGCAGTTGCTGAGCCGCCTGAGCCAGCAGGGAAGCTCTAACCCTAACCCTAAAGGCAGGCCTGATCAGGCTTCCACTTCCAAGTCAAAACCCTTCAGAGCGTCCCTGGAGTTAAGCCCCCATGGGGCTGTTTCCACGCCTTCTCCCGGAAGCCTACACTCACCCACTCTCTCCCACCGCAGGGCCTGGGTGCAAGTGGTTTCCGCGGGCGGGTGTGCCCCCACCTGGACACCCCGCGCTCCAGCGTCTCAGCACAGGCAGTGCTGTTCCTGACCCCCAGACCAGCACTCCCCTGCAGGCGCGCCTTCGACACACTCAAGTTACCCCACGGCCACCGTCTGTCCCTCCCACCGGACTGGAAATCCACGGCAGCAGGGGCTGTTTCTGCGTCTGCTCACCAGCCTCAGTGTCAGCATGGTAAACGAGTGCTGGACAAAGGGATGGATGAGTGCACAGACCCGTTCCCTGTGCCTTCCAGCGTGACAAGACAGACGCCGCCCAGCCCGCGTGTCTCACCAACACGTGGGAAAATCTCAGCTGCCTAACTCTCCATCTGGGAGCGGTGGGGGGCGGTGGAGATTGAGAAAAGTGACTCCACCTGTCCTGGGGGGGTGGGGTATAAGGGAGGTAGAAAACGTTATCACTATATTCAGTAAACTCTGACCCTGTTAAAATTCTTAATGCAAGACTAGAGAGTCTCAAGAGGCATGGGCATCTCAGAAATCATCTGACGATTCCAGCACAGGGCAGGATTCCGAACACACTTTCATTTTTCTACTGAAGGGAGTTGATCTACTTTTACATTAGAGACTTCCGTATCAACACTTCAGGGCTGAACAGCTAAGGCATCACGGGTGCCAATGAAAGGCAGCTCGGGCTAAACTTCTCAGAAAACAGCTGAGAGCTTGGCCTTGACACAACAGCCTTTTCATCCCTGAGCGTGACTGCAGCGGCTTTCCTTCCTGCCGCCCCGTGGGTCCTGTCACAGCGAGGAAAGCGGGTGGGGGAGCGGGGAGGAAGCAGGAAGGGGAAGGAGCCCGCGGGTCACCTTCAGTCGACCGTGGGCACATGGTGCTGCTTCCTGAGCCATGGCCCTGAGCACCCAGCCCATGCCTCTCCCAGAGGAGAGACACCAACCAGGCCAGACGGGCCAGCTGGGCAGAGGGTGTGGTGCCTTCTGGACCTCAAACCATCTTCCTTGGCCGTCTACCCGTCACAGCCCAGAGCAGCTCTGGGAAGAGCAAAACCAGATGATGGGCCACAGCCCTGCAGCGCCCGGGGGACCAGCCCAGTGGACTGAGCAAGACTCCTCGGTCCGCCTGCCCAGTTCCACACTGGCTGGCTTTTCTACTCAGCTGTGCCACACGTTACCTAAGCCTCTTTCCCTCCTGGATGGCTCCCAGCGAGTCTTCCAGCTTCCCCTTTCCAGTGTTTGCCTGAGTCTGGGCTCGAGTCCCAGACTGTAAGCTCCCTGAGGACAAGATCTGTTGCCACCATCTGTACGACACTTTGTGCCTGGCACCCGGAGACGGGGCCAAGATGCTCTCTGAAAACGGACGTACAGTCTTCTTAACAAGCAGTATCAAGAGAAAAAGCAGCAAATAGATACTTCCTTCATATAATTGTTTCACGAATAGAGTCATCCACTGACTATTCAGACACAATCAAAAATATTCTGCCTGCCGAATCCAAGAGGTCAGAGGAGGCCCAGATCCTGACTCTACAGCCAACTTGATACAGTTTGCCCTCAATCCTGCTAAAAATCACCATGGGAAACCACCTACCAAAATTCTTGGTTTGGGCTTGAAGCATAGGAATCAATAACTGTGTTCCAAGGACCCACATGCAGAGCTTGCTCATGATGCTTCCGCTTTAACCCTCAGGGAGGAAGCAAAAAACAACAGTAACAAAAACTAGATACACTCTAACAGCCTTAGAAGTGCCCATCAGCCGGTAAGCTATTAAGGACCTGCAGGTGGCCCTCATGGGATCCACGTGGATAGTGAGTTAACTGCCTTCATTTTACAAAGCAAAATCTCCAAGACCCTACTCCACCAAAAAGGTAGCAGGTAGAAATTTCCCATGGTAAACAGCTGTGGCTCACATGAAAGGCCACCTCACAATACCACCTGCAAATAACTGTAAATAATATATAAAACATAGTCTTTCAAAACCTTACTCTGGGTTACTGCGACCCTAACATACAAGAAGGTTACAAGTCAAGAATGGTCACTATCTTCCTTAAAGAATTCAACAACTACTTTGTCAGAAGAACGCTGTAAGTTTCTGGTCCATCATAAAGGAACTTTAAAACCAAATGAAATGAAAACATACTTGCCCTAAGTAAGAAAAAAAGGGCCTTAAAAAAGCAAGGCCAAAAAAAAAAAAAGCAAGGCCATTCTGACATATGGCACAAGGATGGACCCTGAGGACGTCGTGCTAAGTGGAATGAGCCCGTCACAAAAGGACAAATGCTGTGCAATCTCACTCACGTGAGGCACCTGGAAAGTCAAAGGCAGAGAGGAGAGGGGCAGCTGCCAGGGGCTGGAGGGAGTGGGGAAAAGGAAGCGAGTGTTTAATTTGCGGAGTTTCCGTTTGAGACGAGGAAAAACGTCCTGGAGGTGCATGGTGGTGACAACTGCCCAACAATGTGCACGTACTTAACGCCACTGAACTGTACGCTTAAAAATCACTGAGATGGTCAAGTGTACGTCATGTAAACTTGACTACCAAAAAACAAACCAAAAAAAAAAAAAACACGTCAGAAAAAGAACAAAAGCCAATTACAGATGTTCATGAGAAACAAAAGCAGTGACAGGAGACGGGTTATCTGAGTGATATTTTAAAAGCTGAACTCTCAACAGCTTTTCTTCAGTGAAAACCACACAGCAGGAAAGGTACGTTCCTGATCACCGCTCTGGGTAACACAGAACAGGCTATCCCTGGAGTAAGGCACTACGTTTAGGTCTGTTTTAGACCACAGGAATTGTAAAGTCGACTACAAACTGGAAATGAAAAGAAGAATTCACTGTAGGGGGAAAAAAATTGTCTGCATCGTGAATCATCTTGATGATGTAACTGAGGCGAAAGCTCTACTTGGCTTCTCAATCTGTTAGCCTATGAACATAGTAATTTATTTAACCTAACAGTAAAACAAAACTTATAAAGAACTCCTTTCAGAGAATCTAAAATGTGATGGTAGAAAACAAAACACATAAGCACTGACTACAGAACCAACTTGTTTGAAAACTAGAAGGTTTCTCATAAACTCCGTAAGTATATGAAATTATGTATTTTATGTAGGGGGTGTATTTTCATAAGTTTCATAGGAATCTTACTGTAATTTTCAATGAACCCAGATATCGTCGCCACTGGGATTCAAAACTCCAAAAATCTTCAATTATCTCCTCCCCAATTATCTGGTCACCAGTCCACCTGTGTTCAAGCTGGCAGAACAGATACTACTTGCTAAGAAATGCTGGTCACAAAGAAGCTGCCTTGTTCGCACAACTTAAATGAAAGCCGTATGGAGCCCAGGCTGGCCACCATCCACCCGAGAGACAGATTCAGGCGACACAAATCAGATCGGGGGGAGTGGGGTAAGAGGTGCGGGCGCAGTAGCGCTCGGGGGTCAGCTGACGTCTCGGAGGTACGCCAGGAGCCTGCTTATCAAACTCCAGGGCTGCCTGCCTTCATCTGCAATTCAAGTTCATTACCGAAGCCCTCTCGGATAGGAATCCTGCTGCCGCCAGCAAATTCCCGGGTTAACAGAGCACGGCTTTAGTAGGATGAACTGGAACGGGGCTGCCCCCAGATAGTGTCCCCCCACCCCCCCTTTAAAAGAGAGCGCCAGGGGAGGAGTTGGGGCGCGCCTGCTCCCAGACCCAGGAAGGCAGCGGGCGCGCGCCGTGGGAAGCCACCTGCCTCTCCTGCGACTCAGGCTCCTCTTCGGGGAAGAAACTTCCAGGTTGCCTTAGGGCAGGGGTTTTCCACCGCCCGAAGCCGCCTAAAAGGGCCTTCTGATTTTTCTCAAAGACCCTAGGCCCCAGGGCGCGGCGGCGGAGGGGGCTCGCAAACAAAAGGACCGTAGAGAGAAAAGCATCGCAATCTTGTTTTCTCCAAGAGTTCCACAAAGGGACGAGGAAGAAAGAGCGGAGACGATCCCCTGCTCCTGCCCTCTCGTCCGCCTAGGAAAGAACTCTATTCTACCAAAAGAAAAAAAAAAATTCCAAAAGCCCCTAAACCTCGCGCAGGTAACTCTGCTTGAAAACCTTGCTCAAAGCATCCCGTCCGGCCCACACATACCCGGGGACTTACCGGTTTCGGCATTTTCGGTTCCGGACGGGTTTCCTCGCCTCCCCTGGAAATACGCTCTCCAGCAGCTGAAACGGCCTTTCCCGACCTGCAGGCGGAGGAAGCCCTATGAGCGCACCCAGCAGCCCTCCTGTCGCTCCCGCCGCCGCCGCCGCCCAGAGACTCGCCGCCCTCCCCGCGCTGCCGCTTAAGAACCGGCCAGGCGGGCGCCGCGATGAGTCACCGCCCAACCTGCAATTACGGCGGGCCGGGCGGGCCCAGAGCCGAGGGGGCGGCGGGGGGCGGGGCGCCGAGAGGCGGGGCCCGGGGCGGGGGCGGAGCCCGAGCGGCAGGGAGCGCGGCGCCGGGGGAAGAAGCGCAGGGGAGGGGTGTGGCCAGAGGCGTGGCCCAGCGGGGGCGGGGCGCGGAGCCCGGGCGGCAGGGCGCGGAGAGGAGAGGAGGGGCGGGGCAGGGCTGGGGGGCGCGCTGCCCCGGGTGGGGCAGCTGCTGGCTAGGGGCCTGGGCTGCCCGGAGAGGGCCGAGCCGGGTCGGAATCGGGGGGTGGGGGACTGTCCGCCGAAGAAATCCTCGGGGCGCCCCGGAAGCCCGCGGGACCCCAGAAGACGGCAAGTTTCACTTTGTGAAGCAACCGTTTGCCCCAGGGCTGAAACCGCAACCGTCAACCCTTTGAGAAACACTTTGTAAAAATGGTCCCCGCCCTGGCGTGGGCGCGGGCGGCAGGGGGCCGCGGGCCGCGGGCCGGGGGCGCGTCCACGCAGCCCGGGCTCCGCCGGCGCTCCGGGAGAGGGGCCCAGAGGAGCCGGGCTGGGGAGCGTGAGGTCGCGCGGCGGCCACGCGGGCAGCCTCGGCTCCACCTGCCGCGTGTGTGGGCCGCGCCAGGGGCCCGCCGGTCCTGGGCTCCCGCGCCTACCGCCCCCTCGGCCGGGTGGCCCGCGCCGCCACACCTGTCGTCCAGTTCCCGCCCCTCCGCCGAGCGCGCGGCGCGAACCCCTCTCCCTCCGACCCGGGCCGCGCCCCGCTCACCCGCGGCTCCTGCAGAGGACGGCTGCGCTCCCCGCGATCCCTGCGTCCGAGCAGTGCGCCCGCGGCCCGCGCTCCCGAGAGTCCCCGGCGGGGCGGGGCCCTGGGGCCGCGCCCCTGACTGCCCCGCCCGGCCCGCGAGGTGCGGCTCGCGGGGAAGATGGCCGCGGAGACCCGGGGAGGGGGCGCCCCCCGCCTCCCCTATCCTCGGAAAGACCTCCCCCCCACCCTTCTCAGCCCTTCCCCTCGCCCTCGGAGAACTTTGCCGACCTTGGCTCAGCTCCAGAGGGTGGAGGAGAGGTGCGAGATCGCCCCGCGGTGGGCCGAGGGAGAGCTGGAGCGTGTAAACAAGCCTTCAGGGGCCGGCAAGCTGCCACCGCGGAGGAGCGGGGTCTCTTGGGGTGCGGCCGTCCCCGTGGTCAGGTCATCTTGTCGTCCTTGCCCCCGGGGCCGAGACGGGGTTTTTTTTTTTGAGAACCGGGGACCTGGACCCGCTGTATCTCCCGCGCACGTGGCCGCTTGGATTCCACGGAGATGATGGGCACAAGCATTAGAAGGCACTCCATCGCCCAACGGTCTTGGTTAAAGGACACACTTGTGGCCTCATTTGACTTGATTAGCTCAAACTTATGTAGGGGGCAGGCGGGGGCGGAAATCGCCATACAAATTCTGGGAATTATTTTTTAAAAATTGTGTTTTTGGAAATGGTTCTCAAGAGGAATTAAACACACACACGGACCTTGGTGGCCATTGGGATTTGTTACGCAGCGATTATGAGAGCTAACGCGAGCACTGGTTCTCAAAGCCTGCTTCCCAGACTAGCAATAACAGCTTCACCTGGGAGCTTGCAGAAATGGAAATTCACAGGTACTTCAGAACCTACAGAACCCGAAACCTACAGAATTAGAAACTCTCCTCCTGGGGCTCGAAGTCTGAATCTTAAAGCCCTCCAGGTGATTGTGATGTAGGCTAAGGGTTAAGCCTGAGATTTTCCTGAATTCCTTTCCTGGTCTAACTCCCTATTTGAGTTGGGTGAGTTAGTTAACACTTTAACATCTGTGAAATGGCATAATTATGGCACCTGTTTCATAGAGTTGTTATGAGGATTTAAGAAGTCAAGGACTTTCCTAGTGGTTCAGACGGTAAAGAATCTGTCCACAATGCAGGAGACCCAGGTTCCATCCCTGGGTCAGGAAGATCCCCTGGAGAAGGGAATGGCAACCCACTCCAGTAGCCTGGCCTGGAGAATTTCGCGGACAAAGGAGCCTGGTGGGCTACAGTCCATGGGGTCACAAAGAGTTGGACACCACTGAATGACGAGCACAACAACAAGTGGATACATATAAGACACCTAGAACAGTGCCTGGCACATGGTAGGAGTGCAAATCTGTCCTGGTACAGAGAGCAACTAGTGACTCTGGGCAAACACTAAATGCTAAGAGTCACTTTCCCTGTGTGTAGGATAGAGATACTAATAGGACCCACTTCATGGGGTTGTAGGGATTGAATGAGGTAATGTGTGCAAAGTGTTTAGCACCATTCTGTCCTCTTAATGCCTACCCTGTCTTTGGGATGGACTGCTTTAGGGATACCCCTTGTCTCCTATGACTCCTTCCCCCACCCCTAGCTGCAGGTCCAGGGCATTTCAGACATCCAGGTGAGTAGGGAGGCCTTTTTTGAGATTTGGTCCTCTATTTGGGCAGGTCTGTTCCCTCTAAAAAAGGAACTTTTAAGAAGTGAAAATGTAAAGGGAACTGCATTTAGTAAGGTAACTATGAAAGATATTTAACCTTCTAGTGATAAACCTTCAGGTTGGACATGTCATTCCTCGCATGCTCTATCTCCACCTCTTATCACTGCCTGGAGCCTTGTTAGTCATTTTTTGGTCCCCGACTGTACTGATAGGATATGCCTCTAATTTTTTTTTTTAATCTCACCCAGGTTAATACAATATATTGTTTTAACTGGATGCTTGAAATAGCAGTAGCCCAGTACCTTCTGGAGCATTTCTACACTTTACCCTTCAGGGGAATACTAAGAAATGAACTGACCTGTGGCAGTGTTGTAAAAATGAAAAAAGATCACAGGTTTTAGAAGCACACAGAGCTAAGTCAATCCTGGTTCCAACTCACAAGCTGGTCACTTTGGGCAGATCTCTTAACCTGACCGAGCTCCCACCTCTCCATCTGTAGGCCAGAGATAATGTTTATTTCGTAGTGTTCTTGTCTCACCGTGAGCATTCACCTGTGTCACTGTCATTGTGAGCATTCAGCTAACTCAAAGGCAACTTATAGGTATAATTTTATGGCACAAGTTAAAATAGTACTTTGTAAATCAACTATATTTCAATTTTTTTTTAAATCTATAATAAATGCTAGAGAGGGTGTGGAGAAAAAGGAACCCTCCTACACTGTTGGTGAGAATGTAAATTGGGACAGCCACTACGGAGAACAGTATGGAAGTTCCTTAAAAAAGCTAAAAATAGAACTACCATATGACCCAGCAATCCCACTCCTGGGTATATATCCGGAGGAAACTATCATTCAAAAAGATACATTCATTCCAATGTTCACTGCAGCACTATTCACAAAAGGCAAGACATGGATGCAACCTAAATGTCCAGTGACAAATGAATGGATAAAGAAAATGTGGCGTGTGTGTGTGTGTGTGTGTGTTCTTTTTTATGACTGAATAATATTCCGTATATGGAATATAAAAAAGAATGAGAAATTGTCATTTGCAGCAATATGGATAGATCTAGAGATTATCATACTAAGTGAATTAAGCCAAAGATAAGTATCCTATGATATTGCTTATATGTGGACTCTAAAAGAAAAAAAAATTCCAAAATATAGAGACATTCACAAACATAGAAAACAAGCCTACGGTTACCAAAGAGGATAGGGGGGTGAGGGGAGGGGTAAATCAGAAGGTTAGGGTTAACATATATGCACTGTTATATATGAAATTAGATGACTAACAAGGACCCACTATATAGCCTATAAGGGAGAAGAAGCTGAAAACGAATCTGAAAAGTATATATATATATACTTAACTGAATCACTGTGTTGTACCCCTGAAACTAATATGATATTGTAAATCAACTATATTAAAATGTATAGAGACAAGGAATGATTGCAAAAAAGAATGGTCACTACAGAAATTGGAAAATTATATCAAACTGAATCAACTAATAAACATGAAATAGCACATCATATTTTGCATATACTTATGTCTTACACTACTGAAAGCACTAAATCTTATAGTACATGTTAGTTACTGTACAGGTTTTTATCTCCCCACAAAAACACTTATACTGTATCTTATGTTTTAAAAGGACTTTCCAAAGGTAACTTAATTTCACCTGAGTTAGAACCTAAGCCCCTCCCAAACCACTGCACCCCCTCCTGATCCCTGCAACTTACACACGAGACTCAACTCCATGGAATCTATGCCAGTTGCTTTGGACTGTGATGCTGAATCAGGTGTGCATTAGACTCACTAATGGATCCTCCTCCAGAAAACATGGGGCAGTAAGTCTCAAGTGAGCCTGGGGATCTTGTCTTTAGCAAGTCTCCAGGTGAGCCTGATACACTCAAAGACTGGAGAATCACTGACATAGGATGTGGCAGGAACTTGACAAATAGTATTTACCTCGCCTCACCCTTGACTGTTCTTTTGTGAAGTTATTCCCCTGGTTTGTAAGTCATGGTTTTGTTCACATATGATAATCAATACCCTGGAAGGAAGTGAAAGAGCCTAAAGCCAGGAGTCTTAGATACCATTCCCTACTCTCTTTAGACTAGCTATTAACCTGGTACAGCTTGTGTCTCACTTCAGAGTTGCGGTTTTTCAGCCAGAGGAGGGAAATCATACCTCTACACGTGAGCCCAGATGAAAGGCTGTTTGTTGCTAAATTGCTCGAAGTTATTCAGGCAAGGTGACAGGAAAGTGAGTTAGGGCGGCCTTCTCAGGGGTTTTAGACATAGACAAGC